TTACTATGTACATAATATCTCTGTGAAGAAATGTATATATGGATAGAGTGGCACCCATAAGTCACAAAGTGGAAGCGGGTGCCATTGGTTCAGCCTTCCCTTTGAAGGCTTTCCTTGGCCTCATGAATGCAAGTTCGATTCCTTGTTGGAGCAGCTTATTTTCAGTTGATCCCTAGGGCCTCACCTTTTTTTCTTCTTTTTCGGTTCTTTCCCTCATTTTCTTCCTTTTATTACTTGCTAAGTCTCTCTTCTTCATTTTTTTAACTTCCAGTCCTCATTTTGTTTCTATCATTATACCTTACTTTATGAACAATTATTTTCTATAGGTAATTTGAATTGATTTTAATTAGCATATAATTTTTTTATTTTTAATAAAACGATATTACTTTATATATTGGAATATAATTTGAGCAATATCTTCTATTGGGTTTTGAAAAAAAAATTAAATGGCTTGATTGATAGTCGTTTTGAGTTGAATATCATAGGTTTAATGTTGAAGGTTTTTCTTTGAAAATAATTGTCATATAACTCAAAAATTAAGATGGAAAAATAAACAAAGAACAATACAAGTAAATTAATCTAGTCAAACAAAGAATATATAGTATAGTTAAGCTACTCTTTAAGCAAATATTTATATTGGAGGCGCTCTTTCATTAAATTTTATTTTTCTTTTATATTTTTATTTAGAATGTGTTTAAATTAAGCATTAAAAATTTGAACTAAAATCGAACTTATTTGCTTTGTGAATGAAAGGCCTATTCAAATTAACCAAAAACTAACTGAACCGACCCATTATTCCTAATCTGTCTTTGTAGCTATTGGCATGTATACTGCATGTATAATATGGTGGCACCCGCAACCTTTGAATCCTGGATCCGCCATCATCATTTTACCAAGTCAGATAATAGATATCTGATTAATTTCAAAGTGCAAGTAACCTATCATAACACATCGTTTTCAAAACCTTACAGTCAACGACAAAAATATTTATGTTCCATTATTTAACTACATATTGTATTTTTTTTCTCAATGTTTGTGTATTTCTTCCTCATCTACAAACAATAATTCAAATCTGTTGGCCAACTATTGAAAACAATAAATTAAGCCAATAGTCATGTCTTAACTTGTTTATAAGTCTTTCAAATACAGGTGCCCCTTGTTCATTCATTAAAGCTAAACCAAACTAAAGTCAAGAAAATTCTCTAAAAATTTAGGTCTTTGTCCGTTTGCAAGATTACGGTGAAAACTCAGGAATGATTACTATGGCAACAGAACAGAAGGTGAGAATAAAAGTGGAGTCGCCGACGTCTGAGTTTCAAATAGAAGTGAAAGGAAGTGATAAAGTTAATGAGTTGATAAAGATTGTGAAACAAGCATGGGGGAGTGATTATATGTTACTTAGGCACAATTCTGTTGAAATGAAAGGTGATGAGACCTTATCTACATATGATGTTAAAGATGGTTCTGTCATTAGAGTCAATGTCTTTGCTGAAGCTCCTTGATATTAACTTGTAAGTGATTCTGAAGAGTATTTTAGGGCTAATTTGTGGGATATATGAATAATATTGTTATAAGATGATTGGAAATTTGTGATTAGAACTACTTGTGGGTTGTTAATGGAGAATTTTGTATATATTTGTAATATATCATGTTGTTATGTCTGGTTTGGGATCCTTGGTATTGGCCATGAGTGAATCATGATTAATCTTATTACCAGATAGTGATTTGGGTTATGTTGTTTACAAGAATTGATTTTGTTCAATAATGTTAAGCGGTTCCTATTTACTACTCATAGATTTGCGGTTGCTAGTATAACCAAAAAAAAAAAAAACATAAGGATCCAAAATATTAAAATTATACTGATTACTAATCAGGATCATATAAAGTCTGGTATTATCAAAAAGGATAATTGTGATGTGTCTCTTCATAGCTGACGTCAGGTGAGGGTTTCCAATAGCGGGCTTGTTTGTAACGAGGGATAAGAGATAATTAATATCGGAATTAAATTTGAGATGAGTTTATTCCACGTTTGATTGGGATAAAATCGTGATATAACTAATTCCGAAATTAATTATTTCGAAATTATACTATTATTTTTATCTCTGTGGAAGAGTAATATAAAAATCGACACAATTAATTTTGGGATAATTTATTTCCCATCTAAACGACTCTCAAGTGACAAGAGGGGTAAGATAAGGAGTAATATAAGTGTGGTTCTGTTACGAATAAGCCTCTCCTAATTCTTTGGAAGATTATTTTTTCAAAAGGAGCCGTGAGAATATATGATACCTATCATATTAGTGGAAATGGATACTGCAACAAAAATAGAGAAGAACTTTGCTTGAAGTAATTATTCAACACAAAATGAGAGATGGAGTTTATTCAAGAAATAAAAGTTGATTCTAGAACTCTATTTCATTTTTAAATAGCCTGCATATTATTCCAAAGGAGGAAGAAAAAAAAGAGCATTAAATGATAGGTAGCTAAAAGTTTTGGTAACATCTAAACTGATTACAATAGATGAGCCCAGACAGCCAAAATGTCAAACTTGCGTTTGTTATCTTTTGTATGGTAAAACAATTATGAGAGGCTTGGAATCGAAAGTACATTCTCCACACAATTCCCTAACAAGGAATATGATAAAAACAAGGAGAAAGGTCCAAGTTTGCTCATCTCATGTATTATGAAAGTGTTCAATTTTTTTCTTTCTTTACACTTTTGGTCCATTTATTTATACCTATATGTATCTTTAGTAATTTTTTCGTACTTGCCTTTTAATGGAGGTCTAGCGTAAAATAGATGAACTCCACGCTCCAAATTCTTCAATGAAAAGGGTCCAAATTTATTTAATCACTTCCCCGAAAACAACTATATAGTAATATTCTTTATTTAAATAATATTATAGAGCACGGAAGAATAAACCAAAAAACAAAAGAGACTAACAAACGATGGCTTGACTGTATTGGTGGTAAATAAATGATACACGTGGAATTATGTTTAGCTGACAGAGCATGATACGTGGAACAATGAGAAAATGACAATTCGCATATTTCATTTAAAAGATGTATAAAGCGCAAGAGGTACGAGGCAAACACCCACGAGATAATAGAGAACCAACGTTCGAACCTAAAACAATTGCTGAAGAGACACGAGCAGAATGAATCAAGACTGGAAAGAGGGAAGATTCACGGACCTACAATTAATGAAGAAGGAGAATCAGAATCGTTACAAAATCTTCATAGACATTTACGATTACCAATCATAACGGATAATTAATGCCATTAAAGCTCATAATGATTCCGCCATAAATAGGAGGAAATGTTATATTTGTAAACTCCTATATAAGGGAGGAGAATCTCATTTGTAAAGATACGTTCGGAATACTATCGAAATATATTCACTTTCTCTTGCTTATTCAGTACAATCAAATATTCTTTCTTTTTAGTTACTTTTTGTCAACTTTATTTCCTTTTAAGTGAAATATTGAGGAAGTACGAAATTATTTGGTTATCAGTAACCCGAGTTCTTCTAAAAATAGGCTTTGACTAAAGATCTTATTTTTTGGTTAAATAAATTGGTTCCGTTATCGGAAATCTGATAAACTTTTTATTTTTCAAATTCTTCTTTCTCACAACCAAATCATGTCAACTGTCAACGAAAATAACCAACAGGAGAGAGGATCTCCTCCAATTCCTTCACCATAGGAATCTCCATGACATTCTCGAGAAGGAACACCTAAAAGATCCACGTCTCACACAAATAAACAACATAGAGACGAGCAGACTGTCGAGCAAGATGCTTTAAAACAATTGATTGCTGAACATGTGAACAATGCTCTCCAAGCTTTTGTTAGGGGATTACCAACTGCACCACCAACTCCTCCCCCAAATAATACGGCAACTATTAGAAAATCCACGCTCGGGGCTTGCCAATTCAGGAAGCGAGGCAACTTCCAATAAATCACGTGATAGGAAGTCAGGTACACCAAATAACTCTGATTTATAAAATTTGGTACTACTTTTGCAAAAATATATGAAAGAGCAAAACGACCGCATAGAACAAATACATGGCGTACCACCTGTGATTAAGGGGGTGGATATCGATAAATATTCACAACAACCTTAAAAGTCGAGCGCGGCCCCACTGCCCATTCCTAAGAAGTTCAGAATGCCTGACATCCCAAAATATAATGGAATAACTGACCCACGAGATCACATAACTGCATTCACAACAGGCGTAAAAGGCAATGATTTGACCAAACTAAGAAATTGAGTCAAGTTTGGTCAAAAATTTTGGAGAAACACTCACGAAAGGGGCATTAACATGGTATTCTCTTTTACCTGAAAATTCTATTGATTCTTTTGCTGAGCTTGCAGATTTATTCATAAAAGCACATTCGGGAGCTCAAAAAGTTAAAAAAAAAAAAGGATGGAAGATATCTTTAAGGTAAAACAAGGAGATACTGAGTTACTCAGGGAATTTGTGGATAGATTTCAATGTGAAAGAATGATGCTTCCACGAGTACCTGATAATTGGGCAGCCATGGCATTCGCAAGTAATTTGAATAAAAAGAGCTCAGAAGCCACGAGAAGACTCAAGGAAAGCTTACGAGAATTCCCTTCTACAACATGGAACGATGTATATAACAGGTGCAGCACCAAGATGCAGATTGAAGAAGACATCATCGCACGATCAAGGGTTGATGAAAGAACAAATTCAAGACGGTCAAAGTTTGAAAATGGTCCGGTAAAAATAGGTACGAGCCTTATATGGGACCCGCGGGGCAGGACTCATGGTCCAAACCAGAAAATGTACGGTCTGACCCTAGATCGAGGAACAGAGATGCAGGATCATCATCCAGGTTCAGAAAAGAACGAGATGTACGTGATAGATATACCAACACGAATGCAAGGATTGGTGATTATAATTTCAATATTAGCACATTTGAGTTGGTAGCTGTTTTAAGGAGTATGGGAGATAAGGTGCGGTAGCCAAAGAAAATGAGATCAAACCCAGACAGAAGAAATCCAGATTTCTGGTGCGAGTTTCATAATGACCATGGCCATAAAACAGCGGATTGCAGATTATTAGAAGGTGAAGTAGAACATTTGCAAAAGCAAGGTTATTTAACCGACTTATTTAGCGCGAAAGACAAGCAATCTTATATGAAAAATAGACAAGAACCTCCAAAACCTCCGTCTCCAAAAAGAACAGTTAACGTGATAAGCGGAGGGGAAGAAGTCAATGGTGTAACATACACAGCTGCGAAAAAGACGTCAAAATTCACTGTGACCCACGGGAAGCGAGTTCGCCAAGTTTTAGTAGAAGATAATATAACATTTGATGATGCAGATGCAGATGGCTTGATAATCCCTCACAATGATCCACTGGTAATATCTTTACTTATACATGATAGTAATGTAAAACGGGTTTTGATCGATCCAGGTAGCTCCATGAATATTATTCTTCTAAGAATGGTGAATGAAATGCGAATGGGAGACAAGATAGTACCAAAAGAACGATCCTTATTTGGATTCGATAATTCAACTGTTATTACAAAAGGCAATATAGTTCTTACCACATTTGTAGAAAGAGTTATCAAGGATACGAAATTCCAAGTAATAGACACGGACATGGATTATAATATGATTCTTGGAAGGTCATGGATTCATGACATAGATATTGTACCATATACGTTATATCAAGTCATTAAGTTTCCTTCACAACGGGGAATTCGGCAAATTCGCGGAGATCAATAGGTTTCTAAAAATATCAATTCAGTAGTAGATTCACACACGATGAATTTAGATACGAACAAGAATCCCGTCGAAGACGTGGTAAATCAGATCTCGGCTGAAAGTGGCTCAAGGCAAACATATATAGATTTCAGACCTGATGTCATTCAAGAACCAGAGAAGAACGAAAACATCAAAACAACAACTAAAGAACTCGAAGCTGTTGTATTATTCGAGCAATGGCCAGAACGAAAAGTTTATATTGGAGAGAAGTTGAGCCCAGAAATGAGAGGTAAGTTAGTTGAATTTTTAAAAGCTAACGCAGATTGTTTTGCCTGGTCTCATTCAGATATGACAGGTATACCTCCGGAGGAGATGACCCACAAAGTGAATGAAGATCCCTCGTACCTACCTGTCAAGCAAAAGAAGAGGAAGCAAGGCTCTTTCAAAAATTAAGTGATTCAGGATGAGGTACAAAAACTTTTAAAAATCAGTTCAATACAGGAGGTAAAATACCCGAACTGGTTAGCTAATACTGTGGTAGTTCCAAAAAAGAATGAAAAATGGCCGGTTTGCGAAGATTATACTGATTTAAATTAAGCTTGCCCAAAAGATTCATTCCTTTACCACATATAGATCAATTGATTGATTCTACCGCAGGTCATGAGCTGTTGAGTTTTTTAGATGCATATTCAGGTTATAATCAAATAAAGATGGATCCCCTAGATGAGGAAAAAACTTTATTTATTACAGACAGGGGGATTTATTGTTACAAAGTTATGCCTTTTGGTTTGAAAAACGCTGGGGCCACGTATCAAATATTGGTGACCAAAATATTTCAAGAACACCTGGGAAAGACTATGGAAGTCTATATCGATGATATGCTAGTCAAATTTGCACGAGCAGGAGATCACTTTCAACACCTTTCAAGCACTTTCGGAATTCTTCACAAATATAATATGAAACTAAATCCAGAAAAATGTGCCTTCGACGTGGCTTCAGGTAAGTTTTTAGGTTTTCTTGTATCTAACAGAGGTATTGAAGTGAATCCTGCGCAGATCAAAACCATTGAAGAAATTTCAGATATACTCGCGAGCAAAAAAGAGGTACAAAGACTGACAGGGAGAATAGCAGCTTAGGGAAGATTCATTTCCAAATCTTCGGAGAAAAGTTTTAAATTCTTTTCAATATTGAAAAAGCAAAATAAGTTTGAGTGGGCTGATGAATGTCAACAAGCCCTTAAAAATTTAAAAACATATTTGTCAAATCCACCCCTGCTAGCTAAACCAAAGGATGGAGAGAGGCTACTCATGTATCTCACAGTATTAAAAATGGCGGTAAGTGTAGTTTTAGTACGAGAAGATAAAGGTAAACAATCTCCAATTTATTATGTTAGTAAATCTTTGTTAGATGCTAAGACTCGATATCCTCACTTAGAAAAACTTGCTTTAGCATTAGTTATGGCATCTAGAAAGTTGAGACCTTATTTCAATATCATCCTATCTCTGTAATAACTGCTTACCCTCTAAGGAATATACTACATAAATAAGAATTGTCAGGAAGATTAGCTAAATGGGCTATAGAACCGAGTGAATATGATATTATGTACCAACCTAGAACTGCAATAAAATCACAAATTTTAGCAGAATTTTTAGCGGATTTTAGCACAGAAATAGTTCCCGAAACAGAAAAGGAACTACAGGTATTCATCGGATCTAATCCAGATATATGGACTCTATTTACTCATGGCTCCTCGAATGTTAACGGAGCAGGTTTAGGTATTGTTTTAATCCCACTTTCAGGAGAAAGTATAAGACAAGCAATAATACTATCCCATTACTAATAATAAAGCAGAGTATGAGGCTATAATTGCAGGTTTGGAACTGGCACAAGAATTGGTTATAAAACAAATTATAATTAAAAGTGATTTCCAGCTGGTAGTTAACCAGATGCAGGGGACTTATATAGCTAGAGAGGAACGAATAGCAATATTTGGAAAATGCACGAGAGTTGATAAGACAATTTTAGACATGGAAATTTGTGCAAATACCCAGGGAAGAGAATGCGGAAGCAGATGCACTAGCGAATCTCGCGTCAGTTGCAGAAATAACAAATGCAGAAAATGTTATCGTAATACATTTGTTTCATTCAGCACTCGACCAAGATAAAAATAAGGTAAATTTCAATAATTTAACTTGGGACTGGAGAAACAAATTTGTTAATTTTTTGCAATATGGAACCTTACCTAAAGACAAGAAAGAGTCTCAGTTACTTCGATGAAAAGCTGCCCGTTACTACTTAATTCGAGGAAATTTATATCGAAAAATGTTCGGAGGACCTTTAGCAAGATGCCTCAGACCTGCTCAGACAGAATATGTAATAAGAGAAGTACACGAGGAACATTGTAGAAATTACGCAGGAGGAAGATCCTTGGTAAAGACTTTAATTAGAGCAAGATACTACGGGCCGAAAATGGAAGAAGATGCAGAAAGTTTTGTGGCAAAGTGTGATAAATGCCAACGATATGGCAAAAACATGCATCGCCCAGCAAAGCTATTACATACGGTTATTTTTTCATGGCCATTCATGAAGTGGAGGATGGATATCGTGGGACCATTTTCACAAGATAAAGGAAAGGTACGGTTTTTGTTAGTATTAACAAATTATTTTTTCAAATGGGTAGAGGCAGGAGCCTTCAAACATGTACGAGAGAAGGAAGTCATGGACTTTATTTGGAGAAACATTATATGCCAATTTGGAGTGCCAAGAGAAATCGTATGTGATAATGGCCCACAGTTCATAGGCATGAAAGTCACAGAATTTTTTCAGAGTTGGCCGATTAAACAAATAACTTCCTCACCTTATCACCCTGTGGCCAATGGACAAGCTGAATCAACAAATAAGGTTATTATTAATAATTTGAAGAAGAGATTAGAGAAATCAAAAGGTAAGTGGCATGAGGTTCTACGAGGAGTATTATGGGCTTATCGAATGATAACAAAGACAGGCACGAGAGAGACTCCATTTTTACTTGTTTATGGTGCTGAAGCCTTAATTCCAGTTGAAATAGATGAGCCAAGTACAAGATTTACACAAGAAATTGATGAATCAAATGGTGATGAGATGATAACGAATTTAGATTTACTCGAGGAAAAGAGAGAAGCGGCTCTAATAAGAATGGCAGCTCAAAAGCAAATTATTGAGCGATACTACAACAGGAAAGCTCATCTCAGATACTTCAAGATTGGGGACTTCATTCTCAAAAAGGTTTTTCAAACAACAAAAGCAACTGGTGCAGGGAAGTTGAGTCCAAATTGGAAAGGTCCTTACAAGATTCGAAGCATCGCTGGAAAAGGGGCTTATGAGTTGGAAACCATGGAAGGCAAGGTACTACCGTCGAATTGGAATATTGTTCATTTAAAGAAGTATTACTTCTAGGAAAAGGAAGTACCCACGGTCAGGTATCGCTCAACTATGATTTTATTTTGTTTTTTTAAATTATAATAACAATTTTAGATAATAGGCAAAAAGCTAGCCCATACCAAATGATGACATTAGACCCGAAAGACACGCGGAATACACAATTATTTTCGGTCTAGGTTACAACCTTTCTGATGGAAATAAAAAGGATTAAGCAGTCATCATCTAAATGTATACCTCTGAGTCCCGTGTGTATTTTCCTTTTCAAGAAATGGACCAAATGGAAGGAAAAATCAAGTGCTCGAGATTTCATACTTCAAAGCTCTAACACTTGGGAGACTGTATATATAAAAGGCAAAGAAGACTAAAAGTCAGAATTCAAGCCTGGATCAGCCCAAAAGTCAAAAGTCAAGAACTAATCAAGAGCTAAAAAACAAGCCTGAGTCAAAAACCTTTGAAGTAGCCTTGATAAGGTATAAACTCGCGGGAAAGATACAAGATGGACACAAGATACATTTCAAGTTCCTACGAGTTTATAGGTTAAGGGCAATAATTAGTCACAGCTTACTAAATAGACCCAAAATTTTAAAACCTGTTACAAAAAAAACAGTTATGAAAGAATTGTAGATGTTGTACAAAAATTATTTGTATACATGAAAAATGTTATATAAAATTTGAAAGTTCAAAGCATGAAACTTCCTCAAATTATTCATGAAACTTCCTCAAAGTATTCCTTTTTCTACTACTTTCATATATTTACACCAATATGAAGTTGAGTCGTCTTCTTCATTAGTGTCGTTTATAAAAGGGCCCTCTTTTATAAAAATTCATATCTATCAAAATCACGAAATATTAAAGCATTTTAATGTAGGTTTAAAAGCCAAAGAGAAACAAAAACTCTAACATCAAAATAAGAAAATATTTATATATTAAACTTGGCCAAAAATAAGGTACTTGTTTGTTATCAAACCCCAAAATAAGATAGGGAAAAAACTAACATCCATTCCAAAAAGAAGAAAAAAAACCTCCCATCAAAACGTTTTAAATAAAACTAAGGGGCAGCATCCAAGGTGGCATCATCAGCAACGGGAGAAGATTCAGCTTAGGGAGTAGGGGCTTAAGCACTAACTTCACCAGGAATAGGATCATCAGCTTCGGGAACATCAACCTCAGGTGAGGAAAAGCTTTGCCTTTGCTGAGTCTTTTCAATCGTTTCTTTAGCTTTGGAGATCTCAGCATTCAGGTCGAAGCCTTCCTGGCTAGCCTCTATCAAAGTTTCGAGGCGAGTATTCAAAAAAGCCCAACTCAGATTGAGTGTCAACTTATCTTCAAGAGCTTCATAATCTTTCTCCCGCTGATCAATCTCAGCCTTCAGCTCTTCTTTCTCAACTTTGGAAGCATCAAAGGCAGTCTTCAAAGGGGCAAGAGAACTCTCCAAGAACTTGATCTTATCAGAAGAGGCACGGAGATCTTCTTGAGTTTGTGTAAGTGATTGAACTAACTCTCCGGCATAAGTCTCTTTTTGGTTAAGAAGTTCCTTCAATCGCCTTATCTCTTCAGTGGCTTTCGAAAACTGCTCAGCGAATGAAGACTCAAGGATATCC